GTCACTCTTCCCGTGGAGAGCCTGAACGCCATGAGATCACAAGGAAGTGGGCTCCCAGGCACTGGGCCTGACATTCCCAGGAGTAAGCAATCATGGGGAAATGCATGACCACTTGACTTGCTGGATTGTTGCTTGGTGACTCCATAACTATGATGAAAAGACTGCTGCCCAGATTCTGGCTCAAGCAGGACTCTGGGGGATGAAGGGAAGAGCTTTCTGGAGATTGATACCACTTTAGGTGGCTAAAGACCTATTTTGAAGATAAGGAGGAATATGCCCCCTGAGAGAAAAACCAGGATCCATAAGTGAGTGTTGCATGGAGACAGATTTAGGCTACAATGAGGGAGAGTTTCTCTGCCTGATGCTGGGTGATGCAGAGACAAGCTGGACCAATGTTGTATCTGCACCTCTTATTTCACCTGCCTTCTCTACTTACTGAGCTTGGTCCCCATTCTCAGTGTCATTGTCCTTGGTTCTCCTGGTGGGCTCCAAACGGATGATAATTCTGAACCTAAGTTTTCTGCCCATCTTCCTCTGCTGCTCCAACTCTTTTAAACCTAATGAAGATTCTCTGCTCTTACAAAGGACCCCGTTTAGAAGTGCATGATAACCAGGCTAACACTGGGTAGAGAATACCAGTAACCACCCCGGATCCCAGCAGTGAGATAGTCTGCCATGGAAGAGTGTGAACTTCCCATCAGAGGCAGCATTCAAAGTGAGGCTGTGTGGGCACCAAACAGGCCTCCTAGGCCCAACTCATATCACTGCACGTCTGCAGTTGGGACTGTGCCAGAGGAAGCCACCCACTGTTGTAGACAAGAAAACCTCTGAGAGGCCATACGACAATATGATCATCATGTTTGGAAGTGGGATTTCCCATTGGATGAAGAACAACAAAAGAATATGTCCACCCTTCCAGAAGCCAGTCAGCCCAGAGAAATGGACAAGTAAGGCTTCCTGCATTGATATGATGATTCATAATCATAACATGCGTAACAGCAGCAGCAACAAATACTGATGATTGGTTTCATTATAAGCATCTAAAGAGTATTTTGAGCTTTCCAAAGCACTTTGATGTACATTAGCACATTTGCTCCTCGGGCCTGTATCTCAGGAAGGATGGTGAATGATTAAATGGAGCAAAAGGAACAAAATGATGAATGAAAAAAGCAAGTGAATAGGGCATCTCAAGAGAACAGCATGAAGAAAGAGAATTAAATTTCTTTCATTGGTGCTAAGAAGTCCCTTTGATTCTAAAATCCAGGTGCAATCAGGTGCCTCTCATGGCAGAGGGAGAGGTAATCTGCTGGTCTCCCCTGAGCTCCAGGTTTACATACAGCATCACCAGTTGTACGTCTTCACCTCACACACAAGGTATGCAGACCTAAACCTACTGCCTTTCCCCAGCCCATCTTTTGTGTTTTCCACCTCAGAAAATGGCTCCACCAAACTCTTATTGATGATATCTACGCTTAAGGGGTGGACCTTGCCAGTGCCCTGATGGTTTACCTGCTCAGTGCCCTGTCTTGTGGATGTGTTCCATCATGACTGACATATTAGGAAACAATTTGAGCCTAACACAAATTTCACATTTGTATGCAGACACATGAGTGAAGCAGAAAACTGCACCCATCTGAACGGAGACACATAGGAATACACATAATACATCCCCACCTGCCCTTGCTGACTGGGCCCTCTGGTATCTTACTAAGCTATACCTGAACTTGTACATTTTTGTACAAGTCCTTAGCATGTCCTTCCTAGGCCAGCATCTGCCCTCAGTGCCTAGTACAGAGTCTGGCACATGGAAGTGATTCAGTAGATGTCTGGTGAAAAGGACGACTGCGACAGGGCATGGCAGCCATTCATTCTCAGCTGGTCTCCATAGTGACCAGTCTCCCCATCACCCAATCCCACACACAAGCAGACACTTGCAGAGGAAGCTCCATCAGTCCACATACTGGGGAGTTCCTCAGGTCAAGATATTTAGCTCTAAGCTCTGAATTGATTTGTAACCTTGGTTTGACCACTCTGAGCCTAAGTTTTCCTCCTATCTACCTCTCACCGATGCCTCAAGGATCAAGCGTTAAAATGGGCATTCTGAAAGTGGCGTGTTGGTGTGTCATAGTCTATGAGTATTTCTTAAATGTGGGTGTGTATCAGCATCACTCAGAGGGCTCCTTAAAGCATAGATCTCTGGGCCCCAATCTAAGAATTTCTGAATCATTAGGTCAGGGGGGTGGGGCCTGAGAATTTGCCTTTCTAACACGTTCCCAGGGGTGCCAATGCAGGGGGCCTGGGGACCACACTTTGAAAACCACTGCTCCAGATCATTCTAAGAGCATTGCTCTTTCCACACCAGCCTTGTTTTCCTCCATGAAGTTTGGTATTTCAATACTTGACTTTATGTTTATGTTTTACCCTTTATGCTGTTTTGTTGGAATCTAAACCCAGCCTGAAAATTCCTCTGAGCAGAAATTATACCTTCCACCCTCCACACTCTCTCGTTTTCTATTTTGTAAAAAAAAAAAAAAAAAATGAGTATGTTTTCAGTGCTATTAATAATGAATAGGGAAAGGGTAGGAGGACTCAGACTACTAACCCATAAATGAATATCAACCTTGGAATTCTCTTAAAAATTAATTACGAGGCAAAGAACATTCTACCATCAGTGGAACTGTGGGAAAGATTATCTTCTTAATGACACATTTTAGAAAATGTGGGTTATTGAAGATTTTAGTCATAACTTACTTAAACAACATTTTTTTAAATATAAAGCTATAAACAGCATTTCAACTCATAATTTTTATAGTGATAGTCAGACAATTGTGTTTTTAACATGCAAAATCCATTGCACGGTCATGGCAACAATTTTCAATAGATTGTAAATTTTTATTGAGATGATCATCTTGTGATTGAATTTCAAACTGTATTATATGATCATCAGCAATAAGTCCATGGGGGCTCCTAACAGTACTCTGAATATCATTTATAAAGATCGAAAACCTTGGAAACCCTTAGATTTACCCTGTGGAAAGAGGCAAGTCTCATCGGCAGGAGAGAATCAATTATTTTTATGGATGGATATTGAATTGCAAAGCTGAGATAAGGCATTACCTGATTTAATAACATATCCCATGTCCTTTCAAAGTAGTAAGTTTCATAATCAGGTTTCAATGAGGAATTTTACCAAAGGCCCAGTTTTGAAAATAATCAAGAAAACGGCACTTCCATTCATCACAGTGGTTCAATAACTTTCAAAGGAATATTCCCAAGCAATGGCAGTATTAACTTTGGGTTACATAGAGCCAAGATACAAGACTGAGATACTTTAGAATGGTTCTAGTCAATCCCTCTGGAACTCTTATCTTGGCAATGTGGATGTGTTCCATCATGACTGACATATTAGGAAACAATTTGAGCCTAACACAAATTTCACATTTGTATGCAGACACATGAGTGAAGCGGAAAACTGTACCCAACTGAACTGAGCCGCACAGGAATCCACACAGAGCACCCACCTGCAGCATCTCCCTGCTCCCTCAGCTCGCCGCCGGCGTGATGAGCCACATCCAGCCACACCTGGTGTATCACGCTCCAGCACTTCCAGACGCCCTCCTCACCATCTCACATTGCCTTTCAGGCTGCAACCTTTCTGACGCACACTTCCACAAGCAAATGTCAGGACTTTCCAAGCTAACACCCCACATGTGCTGCAGTTTTTCTGCATACCCTGGCCATTAACGTGTGTAAAATTGTGCCACCAGTTTTACTAGGTTTCTCTCCTTTTTTTTAAGGTGACACTGATGACAAGTACGTGTGTCATGCCTCACAAGCCCATTTATTTTTATTGCATGGCTTTGCATAGTGCAATGATTTTTAAGAACACGCATGTCACACTGTAGCAGAACGGACTGTTTTACTTGGCTTTTTGTTCCCTGGTAGGCACTGTGCTGGCATGTCTTTCTCTCCCCACCTCGAAGCCAACAGTGACGCCTTTTCCCTTGGAAGCCAGCAGCCCGTGCCATGGCTTCCCTGGCCCCCCCGGAAATACCCCCAACTATTTGTACCTCGCAGTTGGCACACACCTCTCTGCTTATTCACCATGCTGCAACCAATGACCAAGGGCATTGGAGTCAGGTGCAAATCCTGGCTGCCACTGGCCAATTCTATAACTTGGAACACAAAGTTTAAAAATACTGAGTCTCCATTCATTCTCATATATGTGATATAAAAATACCTATATTGAATAGTTAGAGGGGGGAATGAGATAATAGAAATAATGTGATTTGCCACCCCCCCCAAAAAAAAAAGTAAACACTGAGTTCTTTTAATTTCTTGAGTTGCATTCAGAGCTGGGACATCTCAGGGATATAGTTAGAGACAAAATCTCGGCCAACACCCCTTATTAGAAACAGCAGAGCAGCCCGGAGCACTCAGGGACACAGCAGGATCCAAACGGTCCTCCCCCAAGACACAGTCCCAGCCAGCACACTAGTAAGCAGCATGCAGGAACCTCAGAGAAACAGGTGGAGCCAAGGACCCCCGGGAACATGGGGCCAGGGACCCCCAGATGAATGGTCAAAATCAAGAACTCATTAGGGTCAGAGGCCCAGCCCAGGGATCCTCAGGGACACAGCTTCAATCAGAAACACAACAGGAACTGGAAGCACTCAGAGCAAAGTCCAAATGAGACCTTCAGGGGTCACGGTCAGAGCCCGGAACCCTCAGAGACACGACGACAGGAGGCCTCTGACAGTGATGCTCAAACTAGCCCCACATTGGCAACACTGTCAGAACCGGACACAGCCAGATACTGTCAGAGCCAGGAGGTCTGCACAGATGTCACCAAAGCCAGAAGGTCCTCTGAGGCTACACCAACACCCTGACTGTTTTTCTCCCCAACAGGACGCAGGCTCACACCGAGAAGTTTAGGCGTGATTGTCACAGAGGAAGATCTGCCCAGCCTCCCCAAATGAAGCCAGGATGGAGGCTCTTACCTGCACACTTGGTCCTGGTGGTGAGCGGAGGCCCCGGGGGCCCTGTGCCCCCCTCTCCTGGTCTTGTGAGTAGAACCCGGATCTCATACTCCACATCCGGGTCCAGATGCCACAGCTTATAGTTGGGCGAGTCCACGATGTGGGTCTCGGCCCAGGTGCCCGTGGTGGTGCGGTACTCCACCTCCTTCAGGATGATGGGGCCGTCCCCAATGATGGAGTTGGCGTTCGGCTTGATCCATAGGTACGTGGCCCCCACAGCCAGCAGCTCTGGGGGGGCAATAGGTGTGGGAGGCTCTGAAAGACAAATGGTCAGAAAAGGACATAAGACTCTCATGGTTACAGAACAAAACCCAAGCACGCAAGGGACAGGATTCCAGACAGAGCCATAAAACAGCCCAAATCCCTCTTTAACCCCATTGAATAGTTAGAGGGGGAATGAGATAATAGAAATAATGTGATTTGCAAAAAAAAAGTAAACACTGAGTTCTTTTAATTTCTTGAGTTGCATTCAGAGCTGGGACATCTCAGGGATATAGTTAGAGACAGAATCTCGGTCTTACTATGATTTTCACTTTTTTGTATGTAAGTACCTGAATCAGGATTTCTTCACTAACTACATGTCATACCTCCCCTAGCTCTTTCATTTAAGAAAGAAAAGGGAGAGGGCGCTTGTGAGGGAAGGGTCTTTCCAGAACACAGCAAAGCCATCTGGGTTAATATTCCACTTTCAATCCTCAAATAAGAGCCTGCCTTTACTGAAGCAGAGTTTGGTTCAAAACCCAGGGTTGTCTGAGGTTTACACACATTTCTTTTACAGGAACACAGAGATTCCTAGTGGAAGTTCTCCCTGAGAGTGACTTGAGCCTCAGTAGTGAAAGGATGATGGCACAGCAAGCATCCAGCTTCTCCCTCGATCCCAGCAGGTTCCTCCAGCAAGGACAGTGCCACTGGCCTCAGTGGCCCCGGTGGGAATCAAGGGTCAAGGGAAGAGTCATGCCAAGTTATACTGTTCTAGAGGCCCGGTGCACGAAATTCGTGCACAGGTAGGGTCCCTAGGCCTGGCCAGCGATCAGGGCCGATCTATGGGGTGACCAGCAGGGTGATCGGGGGGGCCCCCACTTGGCTGGCCTGGGGCCTGCGGGCTGGGAGCAGCTCCTGCATTGTCTGCTCCCCGGCAGTCAGTGTGCATCATAGCAACCAGTTGTTCCACCTGCGTCCCGCTGTTAGGTCTATTTGCATATTAGGCATTTATTATATAGGATTTGTGACCTGTTGCCACTGTATGTATCTTCAGCTAAAGAGACCAGGCTTTCAACATGCCTTTGTAGTGGCCTCCCACCGGCAAAGCTACAGAAATCAACGTTTGTTTTGTACTTCTCATTGGCCAAAAAACCTCACTTGCATTACTTTCCATAGTTCTTGAGACATTATCACCTCTGTTTTTACAGGGAGGAAAAAACTTAGAACTCAAGTGACCAGGTCACCCAACCAAGATCATGGCTCCATAGGCAGGATGGAACCCACAACCCCATGCCTTCCGACACCAGCTCTCCCCTCGGGAGGCAGTTTGCCTCTTGATGCCCATTTTGTAAAAATCAAAGGGGATATATTTTTTATTTGTTGCAAAAAATAGCCGTGGAACAACAATAAAGAAAGTAAGAAGCAAGAGAAAATGTGTTCCCTTCCCTACCACCCAACACAATAGCCTTTTTTATTTCTCTATGTTACATTCCAGTTCCTATTCATATACGTAAACTTTCTTTCATGCGGTTCCAGTAACACATAGATACAATGTACATTTGTTTTCCCCTCAACTTATTATATCCTAAGGGCTTTGCATATATACTACCTGGATTTTACCATCCCTGTCTTTAACAGCTACCAAATAACCCATCAGGTGATCACACTAACTATTCTCCATTTGTTAGGCACATGAGTTGCTCTAGGTTTTGCTAGCGTAACTAATGCTCCAATGAACTTCCTTGTGGGAATGACTCCAGTCCTGCTTGTCTCATGTTTTCTTAGGACCAACTTCCAGGAATGGGATTATCTGTAAAGGGTTATGAGCAGATTTAGGAAGTGGAGGGTTGGGGAGACATTTGGGAGTAGAGTACAAGATTCAAGACCTTTAAGAGAACCTCTGGGTTATTCAGGTGACTGAGGCAGGTATGAGCTTCCATTTGGAACTCAGGTGAGCGCTCCCAGATAGATAAAACTCATTCCATGTTTTCTTTCTAATTAATTACCTAACAACAAAGATTCTCCGCAAACAGAATAATTGCTATGAGACAGGGTTGGACAATATTTTCTCAGAGTGGCTCAGAGCAAATCTTAAGGGACAGCTTCAGATTGCCTCTATTATAGCCTGCCATTTGGTCAGAGAAGGAAATTAAGCGGATTAGTCAAGCTAGATGCTTTTCTTTACAAAGCCATGGAGGTTATTACTCAAGGCCTTGTTATCTCAAAGGTGTTTGCAAATTGATTTTTGGATAATTTGTTCCAGGTAGAGAAGTTAAGTTGGCAGACAGATAATTTCTGGGCTCATCCTTTGTGCATTTTAAATATATGGACCCATATGATCAACTCTCCCGAGTTTCTATCCATCTCCAATGAGGCCTTATGGGTGATATCTGCAGCTCTGCAAAGACCCAGCCCAACCCCTTAATCGAATTACTCACTGAAGGGCCCCGGACAGAACTCAGCGCAGCCGACTTCAATACTTCAGGGCTGGCACAAGGGGCCACATTAAACTCTCTTCCATCGACTTTCTACTATGGTTTGTGCTCTCCAGTTTCAAGATTAGCAGTAAATTGCTGACCACCAGAAAGAAAATAAGGTATTAATCTTCCCAAATGTTGAGTCTCTTTTCACGTATTTCTGATGGTCGGTGCAAGCATCGTTGCAAACATTCCCTCGAGTATATAAATGTCTCCATCTCCGATGACTTACTGGCTCACAAGTCCCTGTGCAAACGGACCAATGCAGCCATCTCTCCCTCTGTCCTCTCAAGAGAACATCGTAGTGTTTCCTGTCCTGGCACCAAAAAGCAGTCAGATTATTGTGTTACCTATTCTTTTTCTTGGAATTCATTGATTATGACTGGCATTCTTTAAAAGTCACATGTACTAGTGGCTCCAAGAGACAGAAGCTGGGATAAGACACACAATCAACATTTTGGTAGACACCACCCTTTCACAAAATGCACAGGAAGATCATGCTGATTTGTGTCAGCTCTCCTCCCTGTCTGTGATGAACTGTTCAACCAGACAGTGCAAGAAGCCTAGGGAGCCATCTAATCCAACCACCGAGAGTCAGAAAGGAAACTGAGGCCCAGAGAGGGCTCAGGGCCTGTAAAGCTAGAAGAAGTGGGGGTGAAACATCATAACTCAGGGCTCAGGTAGCATCCCTGCTCCACCCTTTCTACTCTTGTACTTGAGAGAGATACTTCAGGAATTAACTAGAAGGATCATTAAAGGAACCTAACACCAGTGGTTCTGAAAAGGGGATGCATGGGTCCTTGTGAAAATATGGTAAGAAATTCCAGGCTCCCATCCCAGGACAATGCACATATGCACAATAGCTAGAGTTTGCACATCATTTCCGGAACCCTCAAACCCTCAGGAAGCCCATGCACAAAGCCCTGAAGAGTCTATGTTGAGAGTAAAGGAAGACAGACTACATGCCATAACAGCTTACACGTCTCTGGGACCCCACAGCCACCCTTTGTTGTACGAGCTAGAGGATGGGAGTCCAATCATGTCCGAGGATAAAATCTGATGAAGAGTTCACAGATCTAGTACTTACAGGCTCTCACATTCCCAAACATTTGGGTGAAGATGAACATGCTAAGATTTCCACAGGACAAACTCAAGTAAATGTCTAGCTTTCCACGACCATGGTCCACCAAATGCATTCATAGATTTAATATGTGGTCTAACATATTTAAAGGATGAAGACAAGCCCCTGCCCATGAAATGTTATTTCCTAAGTAGAAATCATCCACAGAGGATGTCTGAGCAGCTTGGGTGGCCATTACACACACCACAGACTGGGCAGATTAAACAACAGAGGCTGGGGAGTCCACGATCAAGGTGCTTGCCAATTCAGTTAGTGGTGAGAACCCTCTTCTGGGTTTGCAGACTGCTGTCTTCTTGCTGTGTCCTCACACAGTGGGAAGAAAGAGGTCTCTAGTCTCTTCCTCTTCTCATAATGGCACTAATCACATAAAGGGGGCTCCACCCCCCATGACCACATCTAAACCTCATCACCTTTCTAAGGCACCCCTTCCTAGTACAATCACATGAGGGGTTAGAACATCAACAGATGAATTGGGGGCGGGGGAAGGCACAAACATTCCATCCTTAGCAGAGGGCATGTTCTCAAATCCACTCTCTCTTCACAAGGACTTTGTCTAATGGCTGTGGACTTGAGAGGAACAATCTCGCAGAGAGAAAGTCCCTCTGTAAGAAGCCTACCCAGTACGTACCCTGTGCTTCTCATGGGCCAGAGTGCTGAGTGTGGGATTTAGTGGTGAAAAGAAATACAGGTGGGAAGAAATAGAGGAGTCAGAGGGTAGGGCAGCCAATGAGAGCAGCAATGACAATAACGTGCAATGAGGGTCATGATGGGAGTGACAGAGGTAATTATGGGGCTGTAAAGGGACCTCGCCTGGTCTAAAGGTTTGGAAAGCTCTTATAGAGAGAGCTTGAGTGTGATCAGTGAGCCCCGAAATTCATGTAAGTTTGTGGGCAAAGAGATTGTCCTGAGAATCCTGTAGTTGTGATTTGAATGGGGAAGTATACACAGGACTAGAATAGAACACAATGAAAACGATGTGTTCTGAACACTGGTTCATTCCTTCATTCGTTCATATACACACACTGGGCACCTGCTATATGGCACACTCTGTCCTGGGCACTGAGGGTACAACAGTGAACAAAACAGACACAGAGCTGGTTGCCAGGAGCTCACATGCTAGCTTCCACTGAAGGACTGAAAGACAGAGACGTCAGGAGAGAAAGAAGTTGATTCAGAAGCTGTTGGGTGCTTATGATTCAACCAATTGATGCATATGCATACAACAGAATACTACACAGCAAGGAAAAAGGAACACACTACAGATACACCACGTGGATGGATCTCAAAAGAAAATGATGTCCTGTAAAACAAGAAAAGGGGAGATGCATGATGATTTCATTCATAGGAAAAGTTCAAGAATAGGCAAGTTGATCTATAGCGATAAACGTCAGAATCACAGTTACTTATGGGAGCAGGTGATGAGCAAGGTGAGGCAT